GTTCGTATCTTTTTCGCTGTTCTGTAAAATCCCGAGACTGTGGCCTGCGCATCTCCCTGTACGGCTCGTCTGTTTTATGCCTCTTCTCTCTGGAGATAGCCCCGCGGCCACCGCGCATTGTCTGCCCATCCAGCCAATACCCTTGCCATCCTATTTCTCGTACTTGTGTTCATTATCAGCGGAAGAAAAAAAAAATATCGGACAAAAAAGACGACAAAATGGCAGCGGAAACAGAGGCGGAGGGAAAGCGGCCAATCTTCGGGCTTTTTTTTTTTTTGGGTTTCGGGGTTTCAACTCGACAATGTCGAGGACCATTTGGATGAGAAAAATATTATTCTCTCGTTTCTTCGGGGAATTCACGATTCTCTCACCTTCTGGGTTTAACACCGGATGTCACTGGGAAGGAAATTGTTGTTTTTTTTTTTTAATTCTTGCTTTATGCTTGAATTCGCGGGGAGAAAATACAGGAATAAATAAGGGGGTAGTTACGTAATCGTGGAATGAAGAATGATTTCAGTCTTTTTTTTGTCCGTGTACGAATCCCAATCAGAATTGCGGTTTAATGGTCAGGAGATTGAATTGACTTCGATATAAAACAATTGTATATCATGAGAATAAAATTTCTCGAGGATATGGAATATTTAAAATCGAATTATCAGTGTACGATTGCAAGTCTGATTACCTCAACAAAGGGGGAAGGAAATAATCAAGGTGGGGTGGGGTGTACCACACCACAAGCAACTGAGGCACGAGTCCCCGTCACTAATTAGTGCCAAGAACGTAATTAAGTAATTTTTAATTGACTGCCGTTTATGCACAGCTCTCTCCGCTTGAGAAATCGTATCGCAGTGGCTGGGGGGGAAAACTGAGATTGGCTGAATGTTAGGGACACACTCGCATAATGAAAAAATAAAACAAATAGCGAGCATAAAAAAATTTTCAAACGAATCTTGACGATTGTAGCGATTGTAAAAAATAAAGCTGAAAAATTTACCCTCAATTCGCGTAATTATTGATTACTACGAGGAACTTTAGTTGCCTCACGTGCATAATAATCAGAGTCATACGCGGGAAACTAAAGCAATGCCATTAACATTGAATCAATCGAATGAATAAATGAATGGGTAAATTATTTGAATTGATGGGGGTGATGGTAAAATGAGAGAAATGGGCGCATGTGCGGTTTTTTCTTTGGGATAGGTCGTGTATGGATGTACATTGTGCATCTGCGGAAAAGAGTCTCTTCGTCAGCAAAGAGTTGCCACTCCATTGTGCCGTGCACTGAGTTTTTAATTAAGGAGCACCAGTCGCAAATTCCCCGAGATTCCTTTCCTATTCTCGGGTTCTGCTACATAAGCAAACATCTCGAGGAGTGACGGGTAAATTTCATTTTCATTTACTCCCAAAACGAATGAAGAATTAACCGGAAATGAATTCTTTCAATTTTTCGATTGTCGAGCTGCTGAATTTTTGGTGACGATTGATGATCGTCTGACGAATCGCTTGACGGTGGGAGTGGATAAAAAATCGGGGAATTTTTACGAATGTCAAAGACTCAAAGTCTTCCTTTCAACGGGTTTTTTTTTTTTTTGAAAAATAAAAATGAAGGTGAAGACGTAAGAGCTTCTCTAGTGTCTCCTCAGTCCCTCCACATTCCCCGAAAAGAAGCACTCCCCTTTTCATGCCAGTACCCCGCCGGGCTTTTTCACCTCTCAATCCTTTTGTCTCAAAGGACTTTCGTACTTGCTCATTTCGTCAAGACTCCACTCTTTACCCACTCCTCATTCACCAAACCTCAAGAGACACGGTAAAAAGATGATAACTATGTCGGTTCCGCAGAAACATCCGCCTCTTCAATTTTTATTAATAAAAATCAACGTCTCTGTCAATTAATGAGCTGATGTAAAAGTCAGGTATAACGTCATACGAGGAAGACATCCCAATGAACTCGTATTTAATCGCAAATAAAAATGAATAAAAATCCAATTAATAAAATGACCAATTTCAAAAAAATAAATCCGAACAACCCCAATCTAATTAAAAAAAAAATAGACTTCTAGAAAAATCATCATTCATGAATAATAAATAAAATATCAAATAAATCAAATATCGCATCAAATAGTTTCATGACTACAAGTACATGTGCAGATCAATAGGATTTTCTTTAGGTGAAATCCGAGGAGAGCGCAACGAACTGGGTCCACTGAATAATTCAAAAGCTAAGGGGTTAAAAAAAAAATGAAGAAAATACTATACCAACTCTCAAGGCACAGAATTTCCTCGGGTGGTTATTACACACCAGCTTATACCCCAACAATGACGAGAAAACTGCCTCGGATGACGAGATGACGTTTGTGTGAATTTACTCCTCCCCTCCACGTCAAAACGCATCGCGTGTGTACATACGGAGTGCATACGCGTGTGTGGAAAGCTAGAGACTCTTTTTTTACTAAATGGCCCTCGCTTCTGTACAGCCCTCCACCCCCATCCACCCCCATCCACCCCCTACCACCCACCGGTCTTTCTATTCTTTCCGTCAACGGCAACCTAACCGCCTCCCAAGCTCGAGTACACACAATCTTGTGGGATTAAAAAGCACACGTACCCAACGTCATAAACTCCCCCGAAGAACACACGCCGTCGTGGCTTTTTTTTTTTTTCTATTTATTTTTTCCTTTTTTGCGTTTTTCTCCTGCCTTCTCCCTATTATATACTCCTTCATCATCGTCATCATCGTGTGGGCCCATGTGTGCTGGAGATTTTTGCCTCTCGGCTCTCTCTCGTTTTCTTTTTTCTTTTTTTTTTTTAGTGCTCCCGGTCGTTTGTACTCTCAAGATTTTCAGTAAACTTGCACGGGACTCTTTTAATTGGTCCTTTTGGAAGAATACGTGGCGGTATTATCTCTTTTGCAAGCGTTTTATGGAGTTAATTAGCACGATTTACGGTCTTCATAAGGGTTTTTTTTTTGTTATTATTTCTCCTTTGACGATTGCATTGTTGGAAATTTATTGACATTTTCTTTTATTGCTCGTTATTCAAAGGGGCAGAGACTCGAATATCTTGGAGATTAAGTGGGATAATTTTTGGTTTTAATTACAACAAAAATAAAAGTCCGAATTTTTTGGAGAATTGAAAATTATGCGGCTATTAAAAATGAAATTTCAATTTTTTTGGAGACGAGAGAACTGGAAGTAAGTGAAATATTTAATTTGTCAACAAATATTAAAAATATATATGGTGTCCTCTCTGGGGTTTTCTATTCGTATGTCTAATGGAACTCGAAGGCTACTTAATAATTGAAGATGCCAAGTTTGCGTGTCGATCGTCCCGAGTGACAATACTGAAAATGACCGAACGTGTTCCCCATTTTTTTTTTATTTCATATAAAAACTATTGTTCATTGAGACACGAAGGTGTGCGGACTGGAAAAGGAACAAGACGGCTATCTAGATGTTTAACGATTGGTCACGTGTTTAGACCCGAGGCTGATAAGAGAAAAAGGAAATTTGCGTTTAGGAAATTACCGCGTCATGTGAGGGTGCGGCGATTTGAGGAACTGGGGTGAAAAGTAATGTTGTGTTTCACGAGGTGGTGATGGTTTCTGGGCGATAAGGGAAAGAAATTACGTGGCGAAAAGACGATGTCCTCGCGTGTCCAAACACCAAAACAGAGTCATTAATAATTGGATATCCTCGACGCGGAGTTCCTGGGAGCAATTCTAATCCCAACACTGTCATTTTCCGGAGAATATTCTGAATAATAATGTCCAATGGGACAGCGTACCCCAGCGGATCGAAGAAAAATGAGCATTCCGTGCTCGTTCAGTGCTAGCTGTTCGCGGTATTATCCATTATACGACATAAAATTCCTTCCATCCTGATAGATAACCTCTGAATTTTCAAGTCGCGTGTCCGGTGTAGATCAGATAACGGAAACTAACCCCAGCTGGACACTTTCTATCTCCACTTTTCCAATCTCCCTTGTCTCACCCCTCGTAATCCATAAGCGTGTGTTCGTCCCTTGTTCGCGCCAACTACCCCACGCGCTTCAGCACGTGAACACATAAGATGATGGTAATAGTGTCGTGAAAAGCGTGAGAAACGACACCAAGAGTTGCCAAGAAAATTATAAAACAATTGTCCATGAAGTATTAACGGAATACTTGTAATTCACTGAGTTGATTAACTTCTTCAAGGCTATACAGCAGTTAAAAATATCAAGTCAATGTTGAAATAGAGTTTTGAGACACGAGACACCTTCAGCCTGATAGCAGAACGAGGGGTTGTCGTGACAAAATTATAGACAACACTGGATAAAAGGAATATTACACGTGGGAGTGAGCGGAGAGTAATGTTCGTGATATTTCCGGATAGGAAGCCGTACATTAGGATATCAGATCAGGCACGCGCAGCAGCTCCGGATGTGGGGGGATAACGAATTGTTTCATGAAGGAGGTGAATGAAGAAAACAAGTTGAAACCAATGGATCAGCGAGGAATAGACTCATAATGCAAAATCAAGTGATAAGACACCAGTGATAATGGATGACTCTGTCTGGTATCACCTTATATCTCGTCATCTCTTTGTACTCAGCCTAATTATAATCAGACTAATGCCCAGTGGTCGACTTGGGTATGCCCGGGGTCATCCCACCACCTGCACCACCCCCTGGACACATGACCTCGAGTGTGTCTGACTTGTTAGACGTGGGTATGAGTTACAGGCATTTTACTTATACCAGTTGGCTCGTGGTAATTAAGATTCAGAGACACACCCAGGAGTTTCAAGCGTCTCATGTGGCTCTGGAGAACAATGGGGGTGTGGTCACTGACCAGTGTTACCACTTTGCATGATAACGTACTTGTGGAAAGTTGCTGGGATACTCCTCGACTATTCCGCGAAAATACCAGACGATATGACGTCTTGTACCAACTTCTCGACATATGGGAGTGGCACTGATGTATGTTCAATTGAGCATGCGAGTTACTTTAAAGCACTCACCTGAAGTTGGAGAACCACTTGACTAGCTGAGCAGTGTTGTTCTTGTTGAATTTAATGTCCGGGAAGTACATCTTTAGGACGGCCGAGGACGGATACCTCACCCAGAAGAACATCAGCTTCGCCTTCCTCAGATGCATCGGCGTCAATGTCGACGAGTTCACTGTGGTTAAGGATTATATCGAATTGTTTTTTCAACAAAAAAAAAAAAAAGAAAATCATTCCGGCTGAATCTCAGATTTAATCGTATTGTTTTCTTGGATGTGATAATTGGATTAGAAATCGTATAAGGTAGGTAGGTATCGCTTCAGGTATTGTTGGATACGTGGGGATATAACCTCAGATTGACCTACGATTGGACGCATCCTCAATTGAAGCCTTACTCAAAAACCCGCTTCTTACTTGTAATGGGATATTCTACTGTGGTTTCATCGAATTCTTATTCGCTTTAATCCCGTGTTCTCTTATCCACCGAAAATTTCAACGACTTCGGTCACTCTTCCGATGGGACAAAGAGTTTTTCTGGCTATCGCCTCGGACTGTCGGCGATCGTCACAAAAATTTTTAACGGCCTAGTGACGGAATATACTATTTGGCAATCGATGGGTTTTCTCCCACACCAGAAAGATTATCGGAATGAATGAGACACAGTTCATACGAGTCAAAAGAAAGCCGGATGGAAAAATGATGGGCTGTAAAAACAAAAAAGGAGAGCGCGCGCGCATTGATTTTACATCAAAGGACGGAACTAAAAAGGCGGCAAAGAACGTCGTGCACTGATTCAATGCCCACGATGGAGTTCTACTGCAGCTATCACAACCTGACTCTCTAACTTTACCGATCGAGCGAGCCATATACCCTTTCGATAATTTTTTACTCCCTTTTTATCACTCCAACTCTCTCTTTCACAAGCGTTTCATTTTTTTACGTACGATGCACTCCTCCGATGCCAGCCGAATCGCAGGAATAAATTTCGTTTTTTATTCTCAAATCGGCTTGAAATAGCAACGAGCGATTAATCTTTGAACAATCGTTGAAAAAAAGAGATCTCGTTACAATTTCTCCCCGCCCCCCCTTCGATCTCCATTTATCTTCTCTCAATATTATTTTTACCATTTGAAAACCAAAGAGCAATGAACGGTGGCAATGTGAAGGATTCATGAAACTTTGAACAACCTCTTCTCTCCGTATTTTCACTTGAACAAAAAAAAAATGCCAAACTATTTTCTCCGTTTAAACTGCACACGGCCAGATTATTGGCTTGCCAAGTTGTTGGGGAGAAGCCTCTGTGAGCGAGTAGCCCTGAGAGTGAACGCGAGAGCCAAAGAACTTCGATATATAGACTCAAAGCGGCCTTGTTCTCGTATGAAACTTCTAGCTCGTATGCACCCCCCCAACCCCTTACTCGCGTTAGCCTAACTCCGTCACGAACTAATCTAACATTCGTCTATACCCTTTCCCTTCCACCAAACAACTTCAGTCTGAGTAAGTCTCTTTATAAAAACGGGGGGGGGGGGGGGGGGGGGGGGGGGGGGCGGGGGGGGGGGGGCTGAGCGAAAAGGGATTTTTTAAATATAAACTATGGAGAACTGAATAATGCACTCCAGATGGAGTATTAGAAAAGGATATTGTAGGCTGAATTCCGTCGTAGCTGATGTCGCCAGAGTTGCAGTCACTACCCCTGTCATTGCTGTCCATTCTCAGGTGTCCGTAATCGGGACTTGCACCGTGTTGGGCAGCAGCGAGTAGTGCAGGATGCAGCATAGCTGGTGGATGAGGCAGTGGTGGTGAATCACGAAGATCAACACCACCACCGGGTGGGCTTGCTGGTAAATGACGTGGTGCACCGGCGCGATGAAGCGATGGTGGCATTTGACCAGGATCAGCCGCATGAGGATTGAAGAATGGTGAGTAGGGTGAGAATACTTGGCTCTCGTGTAAACTTGGATTTGGTATCGCAACGCTTGTGGGTAACGATACAGGCAGCATTGGAGGTGGACCATGATAGGGTCTTGGTGGTGGTGGGGGTGGTGGACTATCACTACCACCCTGCGAACCATTACCCTCTTGTGCCAAAATCCTTGATACCGTACGTGGAGTGATCCTCGTATCGGTCACCTGGGAATTGAAGAACTGAGTATTAACATGAGTAATCGATATAATTCAATTAACATTTGTCGATTGATCTTTATTATTGTTTGATAATTACCTTATGACGTTTTTTCTTTGGTGTCATGACGAGCGAGAGTGCCTCGTTCTGCTCAAGCTCTCTCGCTTCTCTGTCCTCATTTCTCATATTGCAGTACTGCTCTCTCTGCTGTTCACGCGCCTGTTGTTCACGCTGCTGTGCCTGTTGCTGCTGTTGCATCGATGCCATGGCGTATATCGATGGTGGCTTTGGTGCTTGAAACATACCGACACTTGGCCTTGCGTGAGGCGGTAATTGATTTATTTGATTGAGATTATTTTCCGTTGGGCCAGAGAGGGGTCCATGTGGGCCACCACTGAGACTGCCAATCTGGGAAAATGGAGTTGACTGTGGAGGCGGGGGGCCACCGTTTAGGGGCCCCCTTTGCCCGTTTGGGCCGCTGTTTGACTGAGGTGCACCCCTGTCAACCACTTTAGTCCTCGGTGATTTTCTCTCTAATAGTTGACTTGCTAGGAGTAAATCTTTGTTTAATTGATCAGCAGCTGCTTGCGCTGCCTCAATTGGTTTACCAACGAACTTTCTCTGCTGCATACACTCCGCGATCCAAGTGTCAATGATATTACTAAGAGTTAAGGCTATCTCGGATTTCATTTTATCGGCTAGAGTTTCAAGATCAGCTTCTGTAACGTGTGTACCCGTTGAAGGTGTTATGTTTCCACCGGGGCCAAACACATTCAGTCTTTCTGGGAAGTCCTTGTGGTGATGAGGTGTCACAGATTGTTGCATCTGGGGTGTTTGGGGTGTCAGTGGTCCCGTATTACTTCGACTCTGATTCTGTACGTCTCTCGTTGGTTGGGGTGATTGTTGTCGTGGATGTAAATCACGCGAGTGCTCTCTATCACGATGCTGCTGTTGCGCTTGATGCTGCGCTTGTTGTCTAACAGCTGCCTCCTGATGCTGCTTCATACGCTCCAAAGCGGCTTGCTGCTGTTCGAGGTAGAGTTTTTGTCCCATGTGATACATGGCTGCTGCTGTTGCGTGTGGATGATCAGGTGGCAGTGATGGGAGACTGTTATAGGGTGGTGGATGGGGTCTTGGCGGTCGCGGAGGCGGTTGTTGTGCCTCTCTCTGTGGACTCGATGGCGCTTCAACGCTCTCACTGCTCTCTGGATCCATACGACTCGAGAGCTCGTGATACTTTTGCTGTATCTCCGCCAGCTGCTTGTGCAAATGCTTCAATTGACTTTTCAGGTTGTCCTTTTCCTCTCTCTTCAGCCTTATCGTCGCTGGATCCTCCTCATCATCACTATCATCCTCATCAACATCCAGCATTGGATCATTAACACTGTGGTGTATAACATGATGAACAGTTTGCTGCTGTGGATGATAAAGCTTACGCTTTTTACAACCATTAACCGGCTGTAGTGCTGGACTACTCCTCATTGTACTGACGATATTTTCAACACGAGCGCGCTTAATCTCAGTCGTTGGCGAGCTCGTCTCCGTCTTTGGTACAATTGGGCAGGGTGAGTGACTCGATGATCGACTTCTCCTCAAGCTCATCGAGTCATGCAATTCCTCTTTAACTGTTACCGAACCCGGTCTTTGTGCCGTCGGACTCGGTGGTAAACTCTGTTCACAATCAGAACCATCTAAATTAGCACCAGGCTCCATGCCAGCCTCGGCAAATGCCTCTTCCATGGCGCGCGCAGCCGATGCTGCATCCTCAGCACTGTCCTCAGCGTCACCTGGCATCACTGTATCCCGATCACTATGATTCGCATTAACGTTATTACCATCAACACTCTCCTCCCCTCCACTCTGCACTGTCCCACTTATACTCCGCGCACTATCACTATTCTGATGTAATTGCGTTGGGCTCTGCTGCTGATGCTGCTGTGACTTCAATAATTCCGTTGTCGTATTGTTATTATTATTGTGTATACTATTGTTATTATTTGGTTGTTCTTGTACCGAGAGACCTGATAATTTTCTTCCCTGCAGTATATCCCGCAGCATGTGCTGGGTTAATTCAGCTGCAGCAGCAGGATCGTCACAATTAACGACACTGCCCTGCTGTAAATTTGTCGACTGGTCCATACCAGCACCTGTCATACCGTGACTACCTTCTGGTGGTGAACCGCCAGCGTCACTGGCCTGCTTGACCTGTCTACCAAGGAGCTCGTTAAGCATCTTGGCCTGGCCGAAACTCTGTGGCCCGAAGAAGCCAAATGCCGCGTGGGCAGAGTGCTGTGTGGTCGGCCCCGTCGTTGTTGCGAGGTGACCTTGATTACCTCCACCTCCAGACTGTTGCTGGAGCGATGGTGATTGTTGCTGCTGTTGCTGCGACGTTGAATTTTGTCCCTGTTGTGACGATTGCTGATGACCAGTTGGTGGTCCTGTACCACTGAATATAGCACCGTAAATACCACTACCAAGAAATGTTGGACGTGAACTGAAGTTCGGTATACTAGAGTAACTGTTGCGCGGCTCACCAGCGTCCACGCGCTGTCTGGTGCGCTTCTGTTTCTTCAGGAGTTGCTGTTGCTTACTATCCGCGGTTGCTCCGTAGAGGGCGAAACAGTCGGTCTCCTCCTCCGATGACATCATCGGCCGTCTGATTGGTCGGCCCCCCGAAGGCCTACGCGTCCCCTCCCCGCCAGGGCTCCTTGTCACCCCTCCCCTATTCACTCGAACAGCTTGCCTCGTGGCTCGAGTTGATGCTTACTATTCTCAAACTCCCTCTCACTCTCTTAATCCCCACTACCTCTAACAACAACTCCTGGGTTATTTCTTCCCAGTCCCAGACGCACTACCCTACCCCCCTACTTGTGTGCGGCGCGCGGCTTCTCCCCACCTTCTTACTATTTTGCCGCTCCTTCTCCTTGCCTTAACACCGATAAATCTCGATGTCGATGGAAACACCCTCTCCCCACAACTTCCTCCTTCCTCCCGTTTTTTTTTTTTATTTTTTCATTCAATTCTCACTTTTTTACAAGTTATCGAGGTTTATTGTTTTGGTCCAATTGCGATAATTATTTATAATCGATTGTATTATCCACCTCGGCCACCACCACCGCCGCCGCCGCCGCCGCAACCACCTTGTCTGACCCACTACCACCACTTTTTTCTCGTTCTCTTGGTTCTCTTCTTGCGCTCCTGTCTCTTCACTTCACCCCCTTTAACCCTCGTAATCGTTGCTATCCTCTTGTTTATCCACAACCTCAATCTCCAACGTACTTCACTTATACTATTAAAATAAAAACAATAAAAATAATATCCATTCACTATTCCTTATCCCAAAATTTCCACCTTTGGCTCGTCAGTTGTTGTCGATACACGATATATCGGTATCGCTGATACGTTCTAGTGATGCGTTTGCGATTCTCAAGTGGTTTAGAATCGTTGTTGGGACCAGTGCCGTTACCGTTGCCACTCTCACTCCCAATTCTATTGCAACAACTACCACATCGGTAGTCTGCTTGATTATAAACTCCCTGTTGTCGTTTTATATTTTGTTTACTGTCGTTTATTATGTCGAGTGTCGATGATTGACACGTTGTTGAACGCTTATGCGAACTGCTCGTGCTCCCGCCTGGGAGCTGCATCCTTCGAGCTCGCCAAAGGGCTACCTGCCCCTCGTTCCCTCGTCTCGATTTTATCGTTGTCTCGAAATATATCCCGCCTGTAACACAAAACAACAGGCTATTTATAAAGCTGCTTTTTTTAAAACATCGATCATTTGTTTGGGGCCACAACGTAAACCCAAATCGACCAGGCCACATCGACCACCAGCTATTATACCCGGAAGGTTGTTGTCTCCATCGGGCCCTCCCCCTCACAAAATCCCCCGATAAGGCCCGATGGACGATAAAAATTATTCAATTTTTAAGAGAGCTCCCCATTGTGTCATCTCGTCAGTGCGCTAATTATTTTCATTACACCTGGAGCTTTTTGCCTGGTGAGTGGGGAAGGGTGAGCGCACAAGGAGACACTGGACATAAGAAAATTACCGCCTCTAAATATCTTATTTGGTAAGCAGCTTCTAGATAGGTGATGCACTCGTACTAGGATCAATAGTTATGCAAAGAAGAGGAAAATGGAAAAGTATTACAAGATAGGGGAAGGTAGAGACAGTTGGTGGGTATTCACATATTCATTTTCAATTGTACTTGTGGCGAGGTATTACAGTTCTAGTCGCGTTCCAAGTATAAATCGAGGAGTGTTTTTTTTTTCCTTCTTGCCATCTTATTATTCAGTGGCCCCGTCTATGTCGGCCCCACTGTCGATATTCTCCCTTCACGAACCATCATGTTTGGAGTAACAGTGTCGCCCTTGCATATTCCCGGTGACTCGCGGGGGGAGGGGGTTTTATTACCTCGCGAGTATTCAAGACGCTAGCGACTGGTGAAACAGCGGATTAAATATTTATGGGACAGACACGAGGAATGACACTGTTTCAATCGATAGTCGAGGTACTCCGAGACCGTTTTTCGTTGGGGTAGGCGAGATGAATGAGATCGCCGATACGCAGGATATTACCGCTGACAAAAATTATTAATTTCACCAATGCTATTTAATTGACAAAAAAAAAACGAATGAACTGAATTAATAATGGGAAGAATTTCATCCAAATAATTCAGAAATGAAAAAATCCGGAGGCGAGTAAAGATTTAAAATTCACGGTTTCACCGGAAGATTAATTATGAAATTTTAAAGATGAATATGATATTTTAATTCAGTGAAAGTCGGCGATGGGAATTAGATTGAAGTTCGTGGAGGGAAAAATTCCGGTGGAATCGTGAAATTTCAATTTCGAACAGCGTAAGGATTTTTTTTTTTAGGAGACTTACGTGCGTGGGGTGAAGCAACAGCTGAGCAGGCTTGCAGCACCTGCTTATACGATAGTTTACCCTCAATACACGCCCACGCACAATACTGTCATCAGGAGAAGTATCGATGTACCGTTTATCGGCGCGTATCAGTTAGAATGCCAAGTAGGTAAGCTTTGTATCGAGCGTTATCAGTGTTACCCCGTAATCATAATTGCCGATGGATCGATACCGTGGGTTCAATGCCAATAAGAAGACTCCACATTGATATTTTCACAGAAAACACAGGACACGTAAAAAAATAATGAAAAAAAAAATTGAAGCAGAAGGGGAAAGAGCGCCGTGTGGTCGAAGCATATGGTTCGAGATAAGAACTTTTACCTGAGTGGGGAAACTCCGAGGGGGGGCACAAGGCCAGCTTTTCTCTTTCTCTCTAGGTGAATGCTCCACTACGTGAGACATACGGCTATCCACCCAATTCACCCCCTGGATTTCTCCGGTTTTTTTTTTTCTAGTTTTTCTTTTGTCATCATTTTTGAGGATTTCGCCTCGGGGTAATTACACGCGCGAGACGCGACAATTCAGTCACTCGACACTCCAACTTTTTCCGGGTGATTCCTCGACAGGCGGGAAATTTTCACTGTTATGTCGATCGAGTCATCCGGTCTCAATGGGAATCAGCGAAATTCTCGCCGGCGGTCGTGTCATGACTGAGTGAAAATTAATGAAAAATTGAGATTATCAAGGGACTTGCATTTTTTCTTGGAATGGCCAATTAATATTTTTCCTTTGTCACAATTTTTGTTGCATCTGCATTTTTTAAAATAAGAAGATACTCCAATGCCTATCGGGATAACCGCATATTACGATGAGTAATAATAATACTTTTTAGATATATTTAACTGATTTTTTCTTCCCAATAATATTCCACATGACGCGGTTGTCGAGGGGGCGGCATATGCATCGGAATTTTCAACCCCCTGTGTCATGTGGCGGGTGTTCGCTGGGGGGCCTTCATGGGAACCCACCGGCGAGCACCAGCCCATGTCCATCGTTATTCCAATTTTTTTTTTTTTCCATCAAATATTCCTGAAGCCTTTACCCAGCCACAACTGTTCGTGGGGGTGCCTTGTTGTAATAAAATTATCGTAACATCCGTTTCATTTGGCGAACGTATGCCCGAGTGAAGGGGAAATTTCGACTCCCCGCATTTGGATACATCATAACAACTCGAAATAATCGATATCACTGTATTATGAATACATGCGTGACCTTTTCAACTCTCACGAGCCCTCTGTATGCGGTGGATACTAGATGATTATGAGCAACAAGTTGACAACCACACGTCAATTGATCCGTTATTAATCGCCGGTTAATCGTGTTAATTCAACGAGCATCCAAGCTCATTCAAACATGGATATCTCGTTTCATTACTGTTTTCTTCTTTTTTTTTTTCAACCTCCAGGCGTGTCATTTCGTCATTGTCAATTTCGAAGTGGGGGAGCATGATTTTATTTCAATTTTGCATTACTGAGTGACTATTCATCTCGATGTAATGGCTTGTTGTTCACGATCATGTAAATAAAACTCACACCGCGTTTTGTCCCATTTCAATGGATTTATTTCACACCCAGTACTCATTGTATCAATGAACAATTTTCATAATTTACAGATCGTTTAATGTCGCTTGTACCACCGCATACCGCAACGATTATTTAACATAATTGTGAATGAACTGATTTTACGAATTATTTTGTTTGCCGATTCATCAGTGAAAAATTTACCCCACAAATTGGTGGTAAATGTTTAAATTTCCTCCTCTGTTTGTTGGTCATTGATTGTAAATATCATTATTCCGCTGAATTTGATATCAAAGCTTTGATATTGAAACATCCAGAATCATTTAAACTCGTATATATTGTTTTCTTCTCTCTGTCATTGTCAAATTTCCACTGCAATCACTTATTCATCTTGCTTTAATGGTTTGTTATTTACAGTCGTGTAAATAAACTGTTTTATTGCGTTTCAATTGGTGTATATTATACCCACGAGTATTCATTGCGTCAATGAATGATTTTCATAATTAACAGATTGTTTAATATCGTTTGTACGTTGAACCGCGAACGGCATAACCGTCATTACATTCAGTTTGAAATCAGCTGATTTAACGTGGTAATTTATGTGGCAATTTGTAAGTTAAAAAAATACTCCGCAAATTGGTGTTCAGTATTTAACTTTGTTCTTCCGTTTATCAGTCATTGATTGCAAACATCATTATTTCGGTTAATTTGTTAAAGCGTCGACACCCGAACATCGGAAATCATTCCAACTTGTGTATTTCGTTCAACGTTTATTTTCTCTTTCACATTGTCTTTAACATTGTCAATTAGACAGTGAAATAATTTCATCTCAACTTTCCCCGAGTACCTAATCATTTTGTTTTCACTATTCATTATTTATACTCATGTAAATTTATTCACGATTATTCAATAAATGATTTTCCCAAGTCACAGAGCAAATATGCTAATTTGTTTATTGTTTTACCGTTTTAAAAATTAACGCCGCAAATTGGTGGTGAATATTTAATTTTGTTTTTCTGTTTATTGATCAGGGATTGCAAACATCATTATTTCATTTAATTTGTTATCAAAGCTTCGATACTTGATCCTCCGGAATTATTCAAATAGGACATCTCATTTCATTACTGTTTTCTTTTCTCTGGAATTGTCAATTTGGCACTGCAGTCGTATCATTTTCGATTTTCCATTGCCCAATGTCTATTCGTCTCGCTCTAACGGCTTGTTGTACAGGATCATGTAAATAAACTCACTCGATGTTTTATCGCATTTGAATGGATGTATTTCACACCCCCGAGTATTCATCGTATCAATGAATGATTTTCATAATTTACAGATCGTTTAATATCGTTCGTACATTGTGCTATCGCACGCCGTAACAATTATTTGACTCAATTTCGAATCAACGGATATTCCGACGTAATTTATTTGCCGATTCATCAGTGAAAAATTTACCCGACAAATTGGCATTAAATATTTAACTCTGTTTTTCCATTTATCACTTACCGATGGAACGCACTGTTCCACCCAATTTACCACTGTAATTTTCCCGCCAAATTCGGTGTAACGGATTTTCTCGTCTTGTGGCTTTTTTTTCCCTTAAATTGATGCGACAGACATCACAAGGGGAAGATTGAAGCATCGAGATGAGATACAATGGGTCTCAACGGACGATAGAGCCAGTGAATTTTCCCAAGGTGTGCACCCCTCCTTGGGACGTCTGCAAATCTCCGGAGGACTTTTCCGAAAAGGTATCTTTCTTCTCCCCTCCTCGATTCCCATGACTTCTGCACTGTGGGAAAGCCAACGTTTCGATATTGAAAGCTGTTCGGAGGTAGAGAGAAAAAAAAAAAAAATCATGGGGTGCCCTGGGTAGTTTTTCGGAGTCATGCGGAAGAGGAAGTGTCAACGGTCCTTGATCCCAAGGGCGGCGTAACATTATCCGATTAAAAACCCGATCAATTGAAAATATTGCGAATTTTTTAAACAATTGCTCTATTTTTTTTTTCATCGCGGTGACGTCTTGCTGGAGTAATGGAAGTCTTCAAGTCTTGAAACTCGTCTTGCTGAAGGAATTATTTAAAAACCCGGTGGAAGACTCCACCAATGGTATACCCTCAGGTGGCACTGGGCCCCCTTCGATTTAAATGCCCAGGTATACATGTCCCCACAGTGGCATCAAGTAATTTCCCTCCAAAGCCCTTGGGGTGGTATGTATACACCGTAAAAGGTAAGAATCATGTAAGAAGGTGATGCTTCTTGCTCGTTTCTTTTTT